ATTGAACTCTTAATTCAACGGGGTGAGCTCCACCAATTCATCAAAAATGCCCCAAGGAAAAACACCAGGGAGAACACCGATAAAGAAGAAGGGGACATCGCAACAAAGAAACATGAAATCGGGAGGCTCAGTGACGGAGAGGAGTTCGAGGAGCCCCAGCCGAAGAAGCGCCACCTCCGCTAATCATGTTCCTCACCTTCGGCGTTAGTCTCAGCCTTGGGCCCTCGACCTCGAGGCACATTACCATCCCCTCGGCCTAGAGCCCTCGGCCTTGAGCGGTGAATCTTAACAAAGCCGTTGTCAAACAACGCACCCCTTGTATTCCACTTATTTCTATGAATTTAAGTAAACTACAACACAATCCAGACATCTTATCGGCCCCTTCGAGGCCAAATGCCCAGGTATGGCCGATGGTTTCTAGAGACGAGGGGCCTGCAAAAGGCCCGCGTTTTTGGAGCGGGACGCTCGCCGCGTCGCCGGCGCGCAACGCACGGCGACAGGCCTGAAAGAATGGCTGAGGTGACGAAATCCCCAAACTTGGGGGTGAAACGGCAGTCGTCGGAAACCGACCAAGCCTAGCCCGCGCCGTAAATAGACGACGGGACCCCCCAAGGTCAAGGGACGGTTCAGCGCCGGGGGACTAACAGACGAACCCCCGGACGGATCACTTGGACCCCCTTCCGGCCGAGGCGGGGAAGCAACCCCCTCGGCCGAAGCCTAGAAGAAGGAACACACATCAGGAGGACTAACATACGACCTCCTGGCACAATCAAGGGACGACCCAGCGCTGGGGGACTAACAGACGAACCCCCGGACGGATCACTTGGACCTCCTTTCAGCCGAGGCGGGGAATCAACCCCTCGGCCGAAGCCTGAAAGAAGGAACACACATCAGGAGGACTAACATACGACCTCCTGGCACAATCAAGGGACGGCCCAGCGCCGGGGGACTAACAGACGAACCCCCGGACGGATCACTTGGACCTCCTTTCGGCCGAGGCGGGGAATCAACCCCTCGGTCGATGCCTGAAAGAAGGAACATACACCCAGAGGACTCCTGGAACTATAAAGGAAAGGCCCTCGGCCTCAATTCGATTCCACGTCACCAATGGCCCTCGGCATTAGCATGATTCCACGTCACCAACGGCCCTCGGCCTCAGCGTGATCCCACATCACAACGGCCCTCGGCCTCAACATCAGACGGCCCTCGGTCTCAAAATCAACAACGGCCCTCGGCCTCAACATCAGGACGCCCCTCGACCTCAGCATGATTCCACATCACAATGGCCCCCGGCCTCAACATCAGACGGCCCTCGGCCTCAACATCAACAACGGCCCTCGGTCTCAACATCAGAACGACCCTCGGTCGCAAAATCAACAACGGCCCTCGGCCTCAACATTAGGACGACCCTCGGCCTCAACATCACCAAAAGCCCTCGGCCTCAACGTGATTCAACATCAACAACGGCCCTCGGCCTCAGCGTGATCCCACATCACAACGGCCCTCGGCCTCAGCATCAGAACGGCCCTCGGCCTCAACATCAACAACGGCCCTCGGCCTCAGCGTGAGGACATCACAATGGCCCTCGGCCTCAACATCAGACGGCCCTCGGCCTCAACATGACTCTATGTCATAACGGTTTTGGCCTTAGCATGATCTCACATCACCAACGGCCCTCGACCTCAGCATGATTCCACATCACAATGGCCCTCGGCCTCAACATCAGACGGCCCTCGGCCTCAACATCACAACGGCCCTCGGCCTCAACATCAGAACGGCCCTCGGCCTCAACATCAACAACGGCCCTCGGCCTCAGCGTGATGACATCACAATGGCCCTCGGCCTCAACATCAAATGGCCATCGGGCTCAACATGACTCTATGTCATAACGGTTTTTGCCTTACATGATTTCACATCACCAACGGCCCTCGGCCTCAGCATGATCCCACATCACAACGCCCCTCGGCCTCAGCATCAGAACGGCCCTCGGCCTCAACATCAACAATGGCCCTCGGCCTCAGCGTGAGGACATCACAATGGCCCTCGGCCTCAACATCAGACGGCCCTCGGCCTCAACATGACTCTATGTCATAACGGTTTTGGCCTTAGCATGATCTCACATCACCAACGACCCTCGACCTCAGCATGATTCCACATCACAATGGCCCTCGGCCTCAACATCAGACGGCCCTCGGCCTCAACATCAACAACGGCCCTCGGCCTCAGCGTGAGGACATCACAATGGCCCTCGGCCTCAACATCAGACGGCCCTCGGCCTCAACATTACTCTATGTCATAACGGTTTTTGCCTTACATGATTTCACATCACCAAAGGCCCTCGGCCTCAACGTGATTCTACATCAACAACGGCTCTCGGCTTCAGCGTGATTCCACATCACAACGGCTCTCGGCCTCAACATCACAACGGCCCTCGACCTCAGCGTGATTCCACATCACAGCAACCCTCGGCCTTCATCCCTCCGGCATTTTATTTGATGTCAGGGGCTATCATACAGGCTCATCGGCCTTCATCCCTCCGGCATCTTTATTTGATGTCGGGGACCATCACACAGACCATCAGCCTTCAGCCCTCCGGCATCTTTATTTGATGCCGGGAGCCATCACACAGGCCGCTCGGCCTTCATCCCTTCGACATCTTTATTTGATGCCGAGGGCTATCATACAGGCCCATCGGCCTTCATCCCCCCGACATCTTTATTTGATGTCGGGGGAATCACACAGGTCCCTCGCCCTTCATCCCTCCGACATCTTTATTTGATGCTGAGGGCTATCATACAGGCCCATCGGCCTTCATCCCCCCGACATCTTTATTTGATGTCGGGGGAATCACACAGGTCCCTCGGCCTTCATCCCTCCGACATCTTTATTCGATGCCAGGGGCTATCATACAGGCCCATCGGCCTTCATCCCTCCGACATCTTTATTTGATGTCGAGGGCCATCACACATGCCATCGGCCTTCAGCCCTCCGGCATCTTCATTTGATGCCGGGAGCTATCATACAGGCCCCTCGGCCTTCATTTCTCCGATATCTTTATTTGATGTCGGGGGCCATCACGAAGACCCCTCGGTCTCCATCCCTCTGGCCTCTGTATTTGATGCCAGGGGCTCTCACACAAGCCCACCTGGCCTTGCACCCCTCCGTCACCTTTATTTGATAACGGGGGGGGGGGGGGGGGGGGGGGTCCTTACAAGCTCCTTAGCTTTTTCATGCAGGGATCTAAGGCTGATCTTGGATATCTCTTCAGCAGACGGACACAACCGCCGCTCAACAATCAAGGCCGAAGGGTGCACTCCTTTTGCTTCATTCTGGGGGCATCCGGTGTACTCTTTTTCCCTCATTAGGATTTTTTTCCCACAGGGTTTTTTCCTAATGAGGTTTTTAACGAGGCATCTCCCCATTGTGGAACAAAAGGCGTCGCCCCTCGGCGGCTCCTGCTGAAGGCATGCATCACTCTACTCCTGTTTCCCTCGAGAAACTCTCGGCAAAAGGAGTGGGGGACTGGGGGACTCCTCTCGGCAAAACACGCAAATGTTAAAAATTTTCTATTTCTCAGCTACAACAAACTGAGGCAAGATCACAACGGCAATCTACTCCCCTCGACATGATGCTTTCGGCTTACAGAATGCCTCCGGCCACACAATGCCTTCGCCACAGAATGCCTCCGGCCACACAATGCCTTCGGCCACATGATGCCTCCGGCCACACAATGCCTTCGGCCATATGATGCCTCCGGCCACACAATGCCTTCGGCCACACAATGCCTTCGGCCACATGATGCCTCCGACCACACAATGCCTTCGGCCACATGATGCCTTCGGCCACATGATGGCTCCGGTCACATGATGCCTTCGGCCACACAAAGCCTTCAGTCAACAAATGCCCTCGGCAAAGCACACAAATGCAGATCTCTCATTACTTTACAAATTACAACAAAGAAACACATACGAGCAACACACTTACACTCCCTTCAGGAAGCTCTCAGCCCTCGACATATGGGGGAATTGAGAAAATGAGGCACTCAACAGAACAGGGAAGCCTTCGGGGAAATCACCACAGCTACTCCTTTTCCCTCAAGTACCTTTCGGCAAAAGGAGTGGGGGACTCCTGATGGAGTATATGGCCCAGGGACCCCCGGCCCACATACTTCCTCTACTACAATCAGGCCCAATAGGCCCAAACGGGCCAAGCCCAGCAAAATGAAGCTCTAAGCAGCCCACAATACGCAAAGGGGTGCCTTCGGCCCTATGGCCGAAGGCTACCAGTGACGGAATCGAGCTTAGAAACATCACAGGAGAACAAGGCTTGAAAACCAAGCCTTCGGCAACTGCAGCCCTCGGCGGGTAGGAGCCCTCGGGTAGAAGAGGCATCACAGGAGAACACGCCTTGAAAACCAAGCCTTCGGCAACTGGAGCCCTCGGCAGGTAGGAGCCCTCGGTTAGAAGAGGCATCACAGGAGAACAAGGCTTGAAAACCAAGCCTTCGGCACCTGCAGCCCTCGGCGGGTAGGAGCCCTCGGTTTGAAGAGCCTTCGGCCCAGCACCCTTCAGCCGAAGGCATCCACCTCGACAGAATATCCTCTTCACATGCGCCTGGATCACCGTACCAAGTACAAACGTCACATCCAACCACCGCATTTAATGCGGCCACATGCGAGTGCCAGTGCCACCCCGGTCGAGGTGACCCCTCGACCACCAGAAAACTGACACGTGTCCTTATCTAGCATTTATTACTGCTATAAATAGCACCCCTTTCCCCCATTGTAAACCACGCTGAATACATATCGAATATACACTCTCTCTCTTACTTGTTTGCTCTGACTTCTCTCTAGTTATTCTCCGCAATAACCCCTCGGATAAGCTACCCCGGGTACACGATCCATCACAACCTTTTTCAGAAAAGTTTGTATACTTGATAATATCTTAAGTATAATGTATAATTGATCTAAGTACGGCCGGCAAGTAACGTAGAAGCACGCAGGAAGAGAAAGCTAACTGAAATAACCAACCTAAGTATTATTCTAGAACTTGCAAATGATTACAAAAATACAACCGGTACAATTTGCCATTTTCTGGACCAGAATCCATCCAAAAGAACATTCTCTCTTAAATAGAACGAGACAATGAATTAAGAGTGAATTAGTCTTTTTAATATTAACATTACATAATTCTGGTTCTCTGATTTTTTCAATACACAAGATGGGATAAATTGAACGGATGTATCATGATATCTTTTTGGCGCAACTCTTTGGGACATGGCTGCTGGTATGGAAGTGTGCTCCTCCTTGTCTTCTCTGCGAGAATGACCTTAAAGATGAAGTTCTGTGTTGATGAATGGCCATAGCGCCAGCATTTTGATTCACCCCTCTTGTATTGGTCGTTTTTGAGGAAATCTCATCTATGGTTGCAAGTTTTATACCAGAAATCAAGTGGGAGACTATTGAGTGTTTTGTACAAGAAGACCTGCAATGTAGGTAGACAGGAGGGTGGGTATATAATAGCAGCTTAGTCTGATTGAAATCTTTATGACCAGGTTGAATATCATCAATCTCGGATTCAAAAAAGTGGGACTGATAATAATCCATGAGAGTTACTTCATGTATATTGATTTTTAAAAAATGGAAATCCATATATTTGAAGTCTAAGTAAGGTCTTGGTCTTTATCTTAATTTGAAGTCCAGGATCTATATATGTTTGTTTTACCAACCTTTGAGACATAACTTGCTTTTTCTCCGGTGTGGATTCAACCTTCCTTATTGTGGAAGCACTACTAGCTATTTTTGTTGTCGCATTGACTATCTTTGATCCTACACTGCAGCACTGTGACGTGTTGATTCTTTCTGTTCTTCTGGCCCCTTTCTACAAAATTATAAACGTGGTGAATTAAATTGAGGCAGACTAATTAGACAAGACTGCAAGATTCCGAAAAAATTGAATATCTTACAATCAAATTGCCATTAGAGTCTGCAGATTCTTTGGCGCTTCCTTTGCTGCTACCACCAGCATCAGGGCCTCTCTTTCGTGTTTTTCCCACACCGTCCTGGTATAAATCAATTATATGCTATTTTAAGACATCAGATGCACTATACAAGATCACAAGTTTAGTCTCCCTTTGTGTAGAGGAAGTATGTTTTCCTTCATGCTTTAACAATTGTTGTATGCTTTCTATTTCTGTTGGAAATACCTTTCCATTATCAAAGCCCTTTTTCCTAGAACAATTAAGTTTTTGTTTTTATTTTTGTAGTTCGTTCAAGTCATTCGACTCATTCCCTGGAACAACTTATGTCCAGGAGAACCCCATGGGAAACATTTTCTGCGGAAATTGTTTAGTTAGACTTCTGGAAACAAATAAAATCTGAAAAGAGGTTCTTTTCTTTCAGAGTAGAATAGTTGGAAACAAAGTATTACTTGAGTATCTGCTGTATGTTTCCTTGGAAAGTTTGCATTATGTAGGTTGTCTTGATGCTGACCTCTCCTCTCAAAGTTAGATTCCTTGAGAATGCTTCTTTCCTGAAAGCCAAAAGGTTAGTCAATATGTTGAACCTTGAGAAAAGAATATTGACATTCTAACAAAGAAATCTTAATCCAATGCAACATTACTCACATCAGTTCGTAGCCTGAAAGGCTTGGGGGTTGTAGGCTTCGATTTCTTGAATTTCAGACCGGAGGGAGGAACACCAGCGGTAGTGGTGGTGAAAATTTTATTTTGTTTATCCCCAGTTTGGGCGACCTGGTTTCACACATAACAATCAATATATCAGTTAACCTGAAGTCCTGAATAAACAAACAGGACTTATTCACCACCCTTAAAATTTAAAGAATTAAAGAAAATACCTTTTCACCCACAATTTTGATCTGCATGTTGTCATCATCATCATCATTTAATTCTCTGTTAAGATATTCAGACAAACCAAATCATTTTCTAACAAAAAGCGTATATGTAGATACGCGCGCGCTCAACTATATAATATTTGACCGAGTGATTAGATACATATTATGCGAAACACAAACGTTATACCTGTTTTCATCAGAGTATAAAGCATTTTCTTTGTTGTCATCTTTTGTGAAATCTATTTCATGATATTCCACGTAGGATAGTGGTTGGACATCTTTAGATTGACAGTTGAGGTCTTTTACATTCTCTGAATTTTCATTTGTTTCCAGAACTGAACTGCTTGGAGGATCATCTGTTTTGGAATCTATGTGCTTCCCACCAGATAAATCCACAGCTTCTATCCCCATCAAGTTGCACTCTGTATTACACTTGACAGAATTGAAAATCTTCATTTTTTTGGAATCTTGAGCCATGGAGTCTGTAATATTCTCTTTGGAATTTTTAAAATTTATTGCATTAGCTAATGGACTTGACTTTCCTTGACCGGGATGGTTCGCTAAAGGCCCCTTCTTCTTGTGAGATGTTATCTGAAGCCTCTTCATCCCTTCACACAGTTTTGTAAGGGGAGTATTCGAGTCAACAGGTTTCTTCAAACTGATGGCTATCCGATTCTGTGAGGATGCATCTGTGGCACTTTGCGGTTTTTGAAGACTTGGAAAAGGGTTATTGTCCGGGAGACACTTTTTGGTCCTTGGGGTGGTGGTGAGGTATTTGGCTGCAACTTGCTTTCTTTTGAGCTTTGGGGTGGAGATGGGATTTGCAGGCGGTTTAACTTCCTCTTTCCCCTCATATCCCAATTTCCTAGAAATGGCCGGTAATGTTTGCAGCAGCTTTGGCTTGGAAAATTTTGAAGGAACTGACATTGGGCACTTGATGTTTCTGGCCAAGTAATTTTTACATAAAGATAAATATTTTGTTTACAAGCTAAGTAAGTTTATTTTCATTTTCGGGGTTGCAAACATATCATTACATACATACCTTCTGCTGAGTGCCTTTTGAAGCATTACATTGGGACTTCTGGCTGCCATCACCTGTATTGTTGATTAGGTTTAATTATTGAGCATGAGATGCAATTCAAACCTGAAGAGAAGCAGAAACAAACCCGGAGAACGAAATCCTTGTAGATTTTGTCGGAGTCCATCCCTTCATGGGGTTGTTCACAGCCTGAAACAATTCAAATTGAGAGAAGCGGTTGATGTAATAGGAAGTGATCGATGAAGCAGTAAGGATAATACGTACGTACCGACGCGGAGGCAGAACCAGTAACGATCATCGTCGGGGCGGTAATGATGAGGAGAGGTGAAGTCAACGAACTTGGGGGCCTCGATCGTTTCGTAGAACGCTTCGTCTTCTCCCACCTCCACCATTTTCATTTGCTCAACGCTTCGGTTCAGCTCTTTCCTTTTTCATATGCCTCTCTCCTACTAGCCGTTGCAACTTCGGACCCATCCACCTTTTTATTTACTCCTATTTATGTTTACTTTTCAAACATACTAAACTTCAAATTCATTTTTAGTCAAATCAAATACATTCATTCTATTCACGGTATCCATTTCTAATTCAATTTTAAATTGGATTTTACATTTTTTAAATATTTTAATTTAGTTTCTGAATATGCCAATTTTAATTATTACAATTGAATCAATTATCAATAAGGAGAATTTCAACTTTAACATTGATTGACTAAAAAATGTTAACTTTGAAAAAGTAATTTGGGACGAAGGTAGTAATATATTTATGTGAAATTTCACATAAGTATTAATAATAACAACAATAATAATGATAATAATAGATATTGTTGAATTTAATCCAACACGATATAGTAAATATAGATAAATATGTATGAACTTTCGATCTTTATGTGGAAACCCGAAAGGGAGAAACCCACTTGACCTTTTAGGCTAATGTACAAGACCTCTCATTCTCATTCATACTCTCATCACCATTGCAAAGCATAGATACAAGCTCCCATTAATGGAAGATAAAACTATCTAGAGAGGAGCAGGAAGAGGGGAAGAAGAGACCAACCCTTAACATGGAGGGAAGGCCTCGTATTTATAGGAAATGGGGGTGGGGGACAGGCCTACCCTAATGGGTCAAGTGGGCCAAAATGGGTCCAAAGGGCCGAACCAGGCCTGATAGGCTGACATGGGCCTCGTCATTCGGGCTCCGTACTGGGGCGAGGCCTTGGGCTTCTTAACAATAATAGGTTGGGATAATATACCTCAACACAAGTCTCACAGTTTCTTGAGTAGTGAGCATGTGAATCTGCTCGAGAAAGTATACTCTTGCCGCGTTCTTCATCCGTCTTCCTTGAATTCATGTCTTCAAGTAGTCTTGCATGCTAGATGTGTGGGTGTCTTCCCCACCTTTTGAACAGTAAGTGGCCAAGTTCTTATTGAGTCAATCAAGAACGATGACATGACACCCTACTTCGAGACAGTAAGTGAGTCGAGTTCCGATTGAGCCAACCAAGAATGATTACAGCACACAATACTTCTAGACAGTACGTGGACCCGTTTATGATTGAGCCAATCCAGAACGCTTACAACGCACCCTACTTCCAGACAGTGTCACATAAATACGTCTACTTATTAAGAACAACCAGATGAGTCCTAACGACATGTTGACAACCTCATAATCCCGGTCTTAGTGTACGTCTGGCTATTTTTTAAAATAGATTATAAGGTTGACGTGAAACATTTGTTCAGGATTGACTTAAATATAAGGTAAAAATAATGACATGTAAGTTAAAATCGGGATTAGGAGTTGTCAATGGGTCATTTTGACTCATTCGATTGCTTTATAAGTAGGCGTATTTATATAACACTTTATTGAGTACATAACCTTATATGATGATCCCGTAATAGTAGAAGACTGTATTTGTCCCCTTTCCCAAGAAACATAAGAAGAAACTAAAAATAAGGTAATATAAAATGGATAAAATTAAAATAAATACGTAGTATAAGATAAAAATAACATAAACAAAGATAAGAGATAAAAAGATAAATGAACATAAAAAAGTAAAAAGATAAAAATAACATAAGTACATAGAAATATAAAAAAAGATAAAAATATCAGAGAGAGAAGAGATCAATCGTCTACATGATTATATGTCACTGACGTACACTTTGTCGTAGTGTGCACTCAAAATAAATACAATACAACAAATATGCGTAGTATATTGAAGTAAGGTTTGTATCCACGGGGAAAGGAATACTTTTCTTTTACGTAACTAGTAACAATGTTTTTTTTTTTGATTTCATTTAATAATACTAAGATGAACAACCTATATGAGTTTAATTAATAGAGATGGGGACTTGGTTTTGCTTTTATCCACTTAATGAAATGTTCGTCGATCACGGTTATATCTTTAACTATCTTCCTCTCGAATACTCAATCGAGGAGTATATCCAGTTCATCGAGGATAGTTATTAATAACGAGACGCGTTCATTAATAAAACTTACTACCGAGTTATTAAAGAACACGCGTCGTATATCAACTCGACAGTAGCAATAAAATCAAGATGAAAACGATTGAGATTGATAACCTTAACACAAGCGGTTTATTGGTTTAATCAACATAATTAATTCCCCTTAGATTATTAACCATGAGACGCATGCATTAATAATCCAAGTTTCCTACCGTGAATGAACCGAATCAATAACAAGCGTATTAATCGATTGACTCTAGTAATAATTAATATATGAAACAAAACTAGTTGATTCTTTAAGTAATGCTCAAAATATTAATATGAAATATGAATATGAAATAATTAATATTCAAGGAAGAAGATTAAAGAAAATAACTCACAACTTACAAATTCATTAAACTTCAAAGTGGCAAAATCAAGATGGAAGAGTTTAGCTCCTCATTTGGAGACTAAACATGAAGAGAATATAAAGAAAGAGCTTGTCTAAACTGAGCTAAGAAGTATATGTGAATTGGTAATTTTTGTGGGAAGGAAAGGGGGGCATTGTAACCCTTGAGATTTAATTTAAATGGATTAATAGTACTACTCATACCAACAAGATGCATCTCCTTTTAAGGGAGCTCATTAGCCAAGAACTCCAAAGTTAAGCGTGCTTGCACGGGAGTAGTCTTGGGATGGGTGACCCCCTGGGAAGTTTCTCAGGGCGCGCATGAGTGAGGACAAAGTGCGCGGGAAAGGCTAGTGGCGGGTTGTGAGGACAGTACTAGAAGTCCGGAGAGGTCAAAAGTAACAACCTCGGGGCCTACGGGGCCGGGGTGTTACAGATGGTATCAGAGAAACCCTGCGACAGTGTGTTGACCCGTTGGATATCGGGCGGGCACTAAGCGGGGGAAGATTCTGAGATTTGATTGAGATTTGAGATTGGTTTATGGGCGCAACGAGGACGTTGCGTTCCTAAGTGGGGGTGATTGTAACCCTTGAGATTTAATTTAAATGGATTAATAGTACTACTCATACCACTAAGATGTATCTCCTCTTAAGGGAGCTCATTAGTCAAGAACTCCAAAGTTAAGCGTGCTTGCACGGGAGTAGTCCCAGAGATGGGTGACCCCCTGGGAAGTTTCTCAGGTACCTGATCGGGCATCAAGGGCACCGATCGGGTACCTTCAGTGGCTTCCCGGAAGCTCGAAAAGTGGGACATACCCGATCGGGTATGTTGGTCACCCGATCGGGTATGACACTCGAACGTGGTCAAACATCTTCCTGCATGTTGCCTTGTCACGGATCCGATTCGATTTGATATTTCAACAAGGTACCCGATCGGGTATAGGTCATACCCGACCGGGTACAGACAAAAAATCAGGATCCTCTATTTCTTTTGTGATTTTGTACCTTCCTTCCACTTTTGGGGTTTCACCAACGGTCCCTTGAGTGATCATGGACCTGTTTGAGCTCAAAATAAATCTACTCTAAACAATTTACAAGTATTTTACAAACTAAACTATTACACCAAAAGTGTGTAATTTCCAAAGTACAATCAATCAAAACTAATTAAAAACATAAACATAAACATGAAAATTACGTGAATGTCAATCACCCACTTTGTTTATCTCCAAAAGAATACTCACATCCAACCCAAGAATAAGCATATTAATTCTGATTCATCTAATCCAAGTCTGTTTGAGTATTCATTTTCCTATCTTCCTTGTCTGTTGTCCTCACCTCTCAACTCGTCTAAGATGTGCATCACTCAGTCTTCTACGCACATGACCAAACCACTACAAGAAAGACACTTGCGTCTTATATTCTATAGGTGCTACTATCTGTCTGATTATCTCATTTCTCAAGTGACCTTTTATGGTATTATCATCTTTATCACTCTCATCTTTTAAATGTGACATTGTTTCATCATCCGTCACTCAACGTCATGTATTAATACAAGGCTAATTGGTGTGCGCTAAAATTACCTTCAGTGTAGTTGGCATACTCGATCACAGTACTTGAAGTTGAATCAATGTTATGATTGTGTTTTGTAAAGCCCCATTTCCTCTACGCGGTCGGGAAAATTTTCAGGTTGCGAAGCACCATTTTCTATAGGCGATGACAATCCCTACTACGATTGGTCTGATCAGAATGGTGATAATATTTTACCTGGTTCAATTAGATTTGAAATTTCTATTTAAATGTTTCCATTTCAATATTCTTGATAGTAATTCTATTCTTATACATGAATTGAAGAATGAAATATCGTGGACAACTACCTTGGCGTCGAAGAGGTAACCTGGTTAAAGAACTTATTACAAAGCTTTTATTGGACATTTGGGGTATGTTTGACACAACTGGCTGAAAAAATACTTTTGTAACCTTTTAATAACTGTTAACTTTTAGTGACTGAAAAGATCTTAAAGAGAAAAGGTGGTAGCTGTTTGATAAAAAGCTGACTGTTTGATTTAGCTTGGTTTGGAATACAAGTTATTAGGACTAATTAATACTAATAGTCATGGGCTTTTTTCAGATGCTACTCCCTGTAGCATCTCAAAAAAGATCTTTTAATTTTTGAAAAGCTCTTAAAAATTGTCATGCCAAACATATAACCAGAAGCTTTTAGAGACTTTTTGAACAGTACAAAAGCTAGAAGGTAGAGGCTTATGCCTGTCAAACATAGTCATGGTCTTGTAGGAGGCGTGAGTTGAAGAATTATCATGTTATTCTTCATGATGCTAATTTTTTTAGTGGCTACTTCCACTGTTTCACATTATCAAGAAGAACTACGACTCTGTAATTCATCTAATTAATGTAAAGCCAGGGATATGAGTTAAAATGAAATACACTAATAGATATTGTGAATTATTCATACGATCTAAACTTTAATATAATGCATTTTTACTATGATCTAACTACAAATAATAATAATTTTTTATTTGTTAAATGACTATATATTAAATTATTCATCGTCATATATTATATATTTACTCTTTAGTCTCTATCAAGGTTATTTTATTGCGACAAGGTTATGATTGCGGTAATTGCAGTTGCGGCTATTGCAGCTGTTACGATGCGTAGCCAATGTGGTGTAATTTAATTTTACGTTCTATTGTGAGAATTACCTATTTTAGGATAGAAGATATTTTTGGTCCTATCATTTATTAGCAATCATTTGTAATATTTCCTTTCCTTGTATTACTTAGCAGTGAGTATATTTATACTCCTCCCATGCATCTCGGCTGTAACACAGAAGTACATAGCAAAATAATAATATACTACACTCTCTTTACTTTTATATCATGGTATCAGAGCCTCCCTGTTAGGGGAAGGCAGTGACGACATAGTAAACATCCATGGCAGGCGGAGAACATGAGATAGCAGCCGCCTCGACAATTGATCACAATTCACCGTACTATCTTGGACCGCAAGACCGGCTTGGTGATTTTATTACCCCGGTAAGGTTGAACGGTGACAACTACGTTGGAAGGTCAAACTCAATACGGTTGGCCCTTTGTGCGAGACGCAAGTATTGTTTCGTTGATGGCACCTTGTTGAAACCGAACCCTCCCTGCACAGAAGATGATTGGATGACACTCCACTCTATGATCGTCTCTTGACTGCTCAACACAATTTCTGCTGAGTTGAAGCACACATTAACAAACTACGAGAATGCTCATCAATTATGGACTGACCTTAAGGAAAGGTATTCCATGGTTGATGGCCCTTGAATTCTTCAAGTCAAGACTGACTTGGCCTGTTTCGAACAGCCAAAAGGGATGTCCGTGGGAACATACTACGGAAAATTAAAAACACCGTGGGATGATTTGGACAAACTTGAACCCATACCTGTCTGCAAATGTAGTGGTTGCAGCTGTGAATTGAACGCTCAACTTGAAAAAAGAAGAGAATCTGAGAGGTTTCATCAGTTTCTCATGGGCCTCTCTCCGGAATTTTTTGCGTCAATTCGGTCTCAACTGCTGACCTAGACGCCGTTGCCATCCTTAAATCGAGCCTATCAACAGGTTTGCAAGGAAGAGCAGGTTCGAGGATGGGCCAGGCCCGTGATGACAGGGAGGTGATGGGTTTCGCTGTTAACGTCGATGGGCGTCACAAAGCCGGATCTGGGAAGCAAGACAAGTCCGGCATCACTTGCGGCCACTGTAATATTCCGGGACACGAAATCTCGCGGTGCTTTGAGCTTGTCGGTTATCCAGAGTGGTGGGGGGACCGGCCCAGATTCACGTCAAAGAACGGCGGACGTGGTGGCAGAGATTCAGCCGCTCGAGGTGGTACTAGCGCAGGTCGCGGTTGCGGTGGCGCTCGAGCTCACGCAGCGGCGGTTGAGGGGGCTTCTCTCTGTGTGCGACATGACTCTGGCGAAGAAAAGGCTGGTCAGTTGGATAAAGGGGATGAGTATGACCGACTTATGCCAGGCTTTACGCAAGACCAGTGGAAGGCGTTTTTAAGTGCCTTTGGTAAAATTAATACAAATAATGATCGGGTATCCGGTACGTTTGATATTTTATCCTGGATTATTGATACAGGGGCTACCAATCATGTTACGGGAATTTTTTCTCACTTACATGATGTCACATAGATCGATCCATGTCTGGTAGGGCTTCATGATGGTCAAAAAGTCAAAGCCACTAAATAGGGATCTGTCCGTTTATCTGATGATATATGCCTGCATAATGTGTTATTTGTTCCTCAATTGAGTTGTAGTCTTATTTCCGTCTCACAACTGACTGATGATCTCGATTGTTTTGTTCAATTCGCATTTAATGTGTGTGCTATACAGGACCGACGCTCGAGGAGGCTGATTGGAGCGGGTGAGAGGCGGAATGGACTTTATTATTTCAGAGATATTGCTGAAGCACAAATTTTTGGAGTACACAAACAAGAATGATGTATGGACGTTTGGCATCGGCGGCTGGGACATCCGTCTGAAACAATAATGAAATGGCTGCCTGGTGTGAGTGGCTCTCAACATATTATTAGTCAACCATGTGATATTTGTTTTCGAGCCAAACATACCAGAGAGTCTTTTCCTAATAGTAACAGTACATCTACGCATATTTTTGTGCTTATACATTGTGACTTGTGGGGTCCCTACAATACCCCAGCGACTTGTGGTGCCAGACATTTTTTAACTATCGCAGATGATTTTCCCCATGCTGTTTGGGTTTATTTGCTGCTAGATAAAACTGAGGTGTTTCCTATTTTATGTCCTTTTGTGCAATGGTGGATAGACAGTTCTCCCGAAAAATTAAAGTGGTGCATAGTGACAATGGCACTGAATTTAATTGCCTTAAAAACTTTTTGAGTGCATCAGGCATTCTTTTCCAAACCTCCTATGTTTCTACACCTTAGTAAAATGGGCGTGTGGATTGCAAGCATCGACACATACTTAATGTTGCCCGAGCTTTGAGATTTCAGGCCCATCTTCCGATCCAATTTTGGGGTGAATGTGTTCTTACTGCCGCACATCTTATTAATTGCACCCCATCTGTTGTTCTTCATCATAAGAGCCCTTACGAAATTTTGTTTCAAAACTGTCCAATTATGAGGCACTTCAGGTTTTCGGCTGCTTGTGTTTTGCTCATAACCTTCGGTCCTCTCGGGATAAATTTATCAGTCGCAGCCGGAAATGTCTCTTTGTTGGATATCCTTATGGGAAGAAAGGGTGGAGAGTTTATGATCTTGAAACTCGGGAGTTCTTTGTTTCTCGTGATGTTAAATTTTTTGAAGAACAGTTTCCCTTTGCCACCGTGCCCTCAGATACTTCTCCTGATGTTTCATCAACTGCGCCCGCACTAGATGTTTTGGAATACCCTACTACTCCTCCACCGCCTCCCGTTCCCGAGATTCTTCCTGTGGCAGCTGATCCTACGCCACCGACATATGAACTACCTCCGATCTCCGCATCTTCCTCAGATGAACTGGGTCATGGAAAACGCACCCGAATTCCTTCCATCAGATTGAAGGATTATGCCACTCATACGGTGGTGCACGACAACCCATTCCCCGCTCATACTGCTCCTCGCTCCTCAGGTACTCCGTTTCCTATAGCTCATTACATTAATTGTGATAACTTTTCTTCTCGTTATCGTCAGTTTTTGGCAGCTATCTCCGTTCATAAGGAACCTGCAACTTTTTCTGAGGCGGTTCAAGATGCAGGTTGGCGGGCTGCTATGCGCAATGAGATTCGTGCTATTGAAAAAAATCAAACTTGGTCTCTTCAACCCCTTCCGCATGGAAAACGAGCTTTGGGGTGTCGGTGGGTCTACAAAATTAAGTATCACTCTGACGGCACTGTGGAGCGTCTCAAAGCCCGTTTGGTAATTTTCGGCAACCGTCAAGTTGCCGGTCTTGATTACACTGAGACATTTGCCCAAGTGGCTAAAATGGTTACTGTTCGAGCTTTCCTTGCAGTTCCAGCTTCTAAAAATTGGGAGCTTCACCGGATGGATGTGCATAATGCCTTTTTACATGGGGACTTAGATGAAGAAGTCTATATGCAGATTCCTCCTGGGTTTACTACTTCTGATTCCTCCCTTTTCTGTCGTCTCCATAAATCCCTCTATGGTTTAAAACAAGCCCCCCGATGTTGGTTTGCAAAGTTGGTTGGTGCACTACGGCGCTATGGTTTTATACAATCCTATATATGCGGATTACTCTTTATTTACTCGAACTCAGGGTTCTGTTCAGCTGAATGTCCTGGTATATGTTGACGATCTAATCATTTCTGGCAAATGATCATGATGCCATTTTTCATTTTAAAACTTATCTCAGCACGTGCTTTCATATGAAAGATTTGGGAACGCTTCGTTACTTTCTTGGTGTTGAAGTAGCGCGAAGACCCTTCGGTTTATTTCTTACACAAAGAAAATACACTCTGGATATTCTGATTGAAAATGGCCTTTTAAGGGCCAAGCCGGCAGCTTTTCCTATTGATCAAAACCATTCCCTTGCTAAAATTGAGGGGCCTTTACTTTCTGATCCCGAGCCGTATCATCGCTTACTTGGACGGCTCATTTATCTGGCCGTTACTCGTCCTGACCTGGCATACTCAGTTCACATCTTATCCTAGTTTATGCATGCTTCTTGTCAGGCTCATTGGGATGCTGCTCTTCGTATGGTCAGATATCTTAAGGGTTCTCCTGGACAAGGTAATCTCTTGTGGGCTGATAGCGACTTATCTATTACTGGATGGTGTGATTCTGACTGAGTTGCTTGCCCTCTCACCCGACGTTCCTTATCTGGGTGGTTGGTCTTTCTTGGTCACTCCCCTGTCTCCTGGAAAACTAAGAAACAATCCTCTGTGGCTTGCTCGTCCGCTGAAGCTGAGTATCGTTCCATGGCCGCCGCCACATGTGAACTAAAATGGTTTAAGGCCTTGCTCTTGAGCCTTGGTATTCAGCACCCTAAGGCCATTCCTCTCTTTTGTGATAGCCAATCTGCTTTACACATTGCCCGTAATCCTGTCTTTCACGAGCGCACCAAGCATATTGAGGTTGATTGTCATTTTGTTCATGACGCTATCATAGATGGGCTTATTGCTCCTAGCTATGTTCTCACTACTGTTTAGCTTGCCGATATCTTTACAAAAGCTCTTGGCAAGACTCGGTTCCATTATTTTCTTCGCAAGTTGGGCATTCTTGATCCTCATGCTCCAACTTGAGGGGGGTATTGTGAGAATTACCTATTTTAGGATAGAAAATATTTTTGGTCCTATCATTTATTAGCAATCATTTGTAATATTTGCTTTATTTCGTTTCCTTGTATTATTTGGCAGTGAGTATATTTATACTCCTCCCCTGCATCTCGGCTGTAACACAAAAGAACATAGCAAAATAATAATATACTACCCTCTCTTTACTTTTATATCACGTTCAAACGAAATAAGAAATTAATTAGTGTTGATGTCCTGATACAATCCTGTATAGCCCCGTTGCGGGCACGTTGCGGTTCGTTGGATTACATAGTAGATGTCACGCCCCAGACCGCATCTAGGCACGTGTACAACCGCCGTATGACCAAGTGACGTCACTCGCAAGTCAACGTGTCTTAATCATACAAGGCGTCCATGAACATAATATATCCATACTCAGTAGTAAACATACACAACAACATCACAATTTAGATTAATTGAATAGCGGAAATATTCAACAATTAATCATGGGCCACACATGGCCAAAACGTAGGCTCGCAGGCCAAAACAATGTATTAATACAAAAGTATCCATGAGCATAGTTTATTTTTTTGAAATAGTAGAGGGAGCACGAACCACGTCTCCTCTGGATTCTCTTCACCCGTGCAAAGGTGTAGATGACAAGCCTTAACTTCAACCTGAAATGGTGGGCCCCCCTGAAGGGGTCAGTACAAGTATCGAGCGAGTAGCAGGCTAAATATAGATCAACTAGCGTTTCAAGTATAAGACCCAAACATAGGGTGATACTTATGTAAATAGTCTTTTCCCCCAAGTTAAGAAATACTTAGTAGTACATATACACTTGGAAAATACCCGATCCGTAGATCACCGTTTTAATTGGGAAAATATTAATAGTCAATATCCTTGACTAAAAACCACAACTCACCCATATGCCTATGAGTGTATAGGACTCCTCATTGTCCATACTTCAATATCATAATCTATGAGTTTTAAGGATCAAAATCCTTGGGTACTCCACCAAATTTTTATTTGAGTGTTAAGGACTTTAAGTCCTAGGGTCCTCCACCAATTTATAATCCGAGTGTTAAGGACTTTAAGTCCTAGGGTCCTCCACCAATTTATAATCCGAGTGTTAAGGACTTTAAGTCCTAGGGTCCTCCACCAAAATATGAGTGTTAAGGACTTTTAAGTCCTAGGGTCCTCCACCAAAATATGAGTGTTAAGGACTTTTAAGTCCTAGGGTCCTCCACCAAAATATGAGTGTTAAGGACTTTTAAGTCCTAGGGTCCTCCACCAAAATATAATCCTATGATCAACCTCCTTTCAACCTAGATAGGATCTATATCATATTTATTCATTCATAGCTAAATCAATACATAAAGCTTATGTATCACAATCCATGCAAAGTCATGCGTTTATATAACTTCATAATTAACTAATACCATCCGATATCAATTAATCCATTATCCATCGGTCAACGTTTTCGTTGACCGCCATTTCAAACCTTATACGTATCAACTTAATCATCATATAATTAAGTTAATAATGTTCATTTGTGCTCCTCTTACGCTTCAAGCAAACATGCATTTTATATAATTCCTCATAACATATTTCATGCATAAACAATTAATTCCTTTCATACAAACTTAACCATATTGGCTAATCACATGTTTAAATACCTTTTAAACATAATTATGAACACATATAACATTTATTTAGGTAATCTCATAATTAACCCAAAAGTTATAAGATATTAAGCCGTCCACTCACCTTAAATGAGCTTAAGCGCGTTCTACGCTCCTCGGTTGAACTCCGGCGAAACTCCGGCGAACTCCGGCGAACTCAGACGAAACTCCGACGAAACTCCGGCGAACTCTAGAAACCCTTTAGTCAAGTTCCTAATAAGGTTTTATCATCATAAAACCCATATCAATACAAATAACCCCTAAAAGGTTATTTTCCGGTGAACCGGTCATTTTGGCTTCTAAGTCCGTTCTTGGACTTAGAACTACCTTCCAACCCCTCATTCTACACTTCTAAACATGTAGAACAATCCTAGGGTCTCCTCATATGTCATATATCTCATATGGTAGAAGAAAAATAAAGGAAAAGTTAATACAAGGTCATTACCTTACTTCTTCTCACTTTTTCCTAACTTTTCCCTTCTCAAACCTCCTTCTTTGGACCCTTATAGCTTGAGCTCGAGTTGCAGCAATGGAGAAAGGTTGGAGAGCATTTTCTTCCTCTTTCTTGGGTGGTCTGGCCGAGCACATAGGTTGGAGGGAGAGATGATGGCTCACTTTTGTCTTAATTGACAAATGAGTGAGGGAGGGGTCCCCTATGTACCTTTGATGCCAAAGGGAAAAGTCCTCCTCCACATCTTCCTTGTCATGTCAGCCCTCATATGACTTATTGAGTGCACAAAAACGTGGGGTGTCCCCCAATCATGTGGGAGGTCATCCCTTTGTGTCCTGAAGTGTACAACCGACCCCGAAAGTTGTATTTTTCAGACTGTTTTAATCATATTTTATTTTATCGGGTCAAATAAAATATATTATGTGTTTCCCACCATTATGGACTTTTGGAATGAATAAACATTCCTCATCTTTAATTTAGATGTCTCCGAAATTCAATTCGGACTGTTATCCGGTAAATTACCAATACCGGTAATGGGGCTTCGTTTGACAGACGGGTCA